AAGGTTGACTCAATCTGAGCTTACTTTAACTCTCTTTTAGAAATATAAATCTGCTGTATGCTCAAAACTAACTGTTTTCTTTCAACTTGGGAAAAAATAGGAATAACAGCCTTGTGCAGTAAAATAGTAAATTACTAGGGTTCCTCTTGGCAGAAAACCTCGTTTGGTTTACTAGATAAAACACAAACCATTCTAAACTGTTGTTTCTAGACTCTTCAATGATGGGTAAAACAAGTGTGGAGACATATTTTCAACTTTAAGATTCTCATAGGCCATAACCAATTGATCACACTTGTTTCCTCAAACAATTCACAATTTCATCATTAAAATCCCTAGAAGGATCTCCAAGTTACAACTGCAAATGAGATTCTCCCAAACGTCTCAAATATGTTGACTCAGAACCCTCAACATGAAGATGCTCCCAAACGAAAGAATTTCATAGCCATCTCAGTTTTTGCTCGATTGTGCCCATTTGTGATTTTGATAAAAATAATGAGAGTATACGTGGCCAGGGGAAGACATTTGAGCAGTGGAATGGCCATGGATTTTTACAGAGGACAAAGAACTTGCCTGATTTAGATGCTTGAACAGAGCAACGGATACGGAATTGTTGTTAAAGTTGGGAAAGAATCTAGTGACAATTCAGAGTTCAGTATTTCAGATTACACAATGGAGCATAATCCATGGTAAAGCCAAACATGATTGAATGCATTCACAATCCGTGGACGGTGTCTAAGCTCGATTCTAGGCTTCAGGCAAAGAGCCATGAGAGACGTGAATACGTGATCTAAGCATGAATTGCTTCTGTCTGCGCTTCACCAGGATGTCTACGACATGTGGCAAGGGATACCACACTGCCAAGGTGGCCACGGAGGTTGCCACCTGGTTTGTCCTCCCATCTGATAATCTTCCTACCTGAAAATTATTGGGTATACCCCTTCCGTGTATTCAAAGCTATAGACTATAAGGTGTTTGGAACCGTGGGCGTTTATTAATAAATGTTATCACATAAGTGTCACATTAGCATTTTTCCCATTATGTGAATCCGTACACATAGGGACTTACAAAAGTAGGCTTCGGTTTATGTGTGCGTTTACTATTGGGGAATCTTCATTTTAGCGTTTCTCCCAACGGGTAGGTGTATTCACTATTTTGCTAATGTGGTGCTTAATGGTGCCTAAGTGTCAATAAAATGGTTTATTATTTTTTTTGAATTTTTAAACAAATCAAGTACAAAACATTTAGTAAATAAACGTTCGCGGTTCCAAACACATACTAAATATTCAATGTTAACTTGAAGTGGGTGTTAGCAATGGGGGAAAGAACAGAAGCCACATTAGTTCACAAGCGGGTGAAGAAAAGAGCTGTTAAGGGTTTTTTTTTGTTAAGAACAGTCAAGTGCATATTTTGAAAATTTAAAGCACAGTCAAGGGATACATTTTTGTCCTTTAATTTTTCATGTCAATCTTTAAAAGCCTTAATAAGACATATTTAAGTAGTTTTGAAAATCACAAGGTGGTAGTTTAGTAAAAATATAGGGTATAGTTAAGTAATTAACTCTATTTTTTTAAGTAATTATGGTGTTTAAACATTGGTCAACAACCAGTCTCTACAATGCAGACAGAAAATTTCGAATTCCCCTAGTTCAATTGCTACCTAGAATCTTTCTGTTATTTGATGTGCTCTGGATGCTGTATTTCTGTTTTCTCTTTGGCTTAATGAATTTCTTTGTTCACCAAAAAAAATGCTAACTAGAATCTCGATAATTAGCTAGATCATTTCACATACATGCACATATAATTAGGCATGTAGTGTTTAGCTACAAGTATTAAGAAAAGAGTAAATTGCCGAAACCTCCTGAAGTTTAATAATTGCAATCCTCTCCTAAACTTTCTGACACAGTTGCAAGTAGACCCTCTTTGTTAGAATCTTCTAATTAGAGGCACAAAAATGTTATCAACCGTTCAGAGGTAAAATTGCAACATTAAATTCTCTTATTTTTTGTTCATAAAGTTTATAATTTTCTGTAGAAATCAATCTCAATTATAATTGCTTAGGTATTTTAGACATTTTGTGTCTCTTGTAAGACTGAGAGAAGGTCTTCTTGCAATTTTGTCAAAAAGTTTAGGGAAGGTTATTGCAATTACCAAACTTCAGGGGAGGTTTTATCCTAAAAAAAAAGAACTACAATTGTTCATAGAAAGTTGATCATTTTAAAATAAAACAATATATTTATAAACACTATGCATTTTTATGGAATAAAAAAATTAAAAGTTGCCAAGAAAAGGTATAAATTTCAATTTACAAAGATAGTGAAGAAACTTTTTGCACTGATTTACCTTATTTCTATATTTATGCCACTGCATCATAAATCTAGTAGAAGTCCCTTTTTGTATTCAATGTTTATTTATTATATACAAAAAAAAAGAGGTTCAGTTAATTACATTCTACCTCCCTATTATTGGGGATGAAATTTAGGAATTCATGCAATGACCCTATATAGTTGGGACAAGACTCAAATGATTATGGTTAACTAAACAAAAGAAATATAAAAATAAATTATATTTTTAGTTTTATGAAAGATAATACAAACATGAAAAAATATAAAACACACTTAATTTTTTAATAAAAATCTGACAATTATAACAATCAAAAGAATCCTTATGGATATCTGAAAAGCTATTTTAAAAGTAGTTGGATAGAAGCTGAATATGAAGGCTTAAAGGCTATGTTTGGAAGTGATGTAAAACGTCATTGATGTAAAAGTTTATGTTGGTTCAGTTTTATCAATGTTTGGATGGAGTGGAATTTTATATCATAAATCGATATAAAACCTCATCCAAAATAAAGTTCTAGATCGATTATCAATATAAATACTAGATCAATAAAATTGACATAAAAGCTCCACGCTTTTCTCATTGATAAACTTTTAGGGTCTGTTTGATTGTTGAGAAAATTGGACTGAGAAAGGATGGGATGAGAAAAAGAAAATTTATTTTCTCAGTTAGTTATAATGTGTTTGTTTGCTGAGAAAATTTTTGTGAGAAAATCCACTTTCTAGTGTTTGTTTTGCAAGAAAAATTTTTTGAGCTGATTGTCACCAGCAATCAAAGACAGAACTTCGGATCGTCGCCAACAAGATTGGATCCAGAAATCCGAAATTGCTAGAGATTTCAATTGTCCTGAGATAGTCGGCAACCATTGAGACACGAAATTAACCGTTGTGAGGTAGAGATCGTCGGATTCGTTGGCGGTGAGTATCCCCCGAAATGGTTTTTCAACGCCAATAGAGCCACCGAGTTCTCTGGATTGCTTAGCACGAGGATCGCAGTCTGCTTCATTATGATCTTTGGCGTGTTCAACTATTCCATGTTGGGATGGCGCATCTTCAGAATTCCTGGCAATGGTTGGCTGGGATTGGGGCTCAGAAGCGAGACAGAGCTTTATCCCGTTTTGTTTGGAACAGCCACTGTCTCCGACGCCTTCCTCTTGTTTGAAATCAGGGTTAGGGTTGGGATTTGAGCTAGTGGGGGCGGTGGTGCTGGAGATGCAAGACAGAGCTTTCTCCCGTTTGCGGAGGAGAATCCTGAAATCTTTGAGGGAAATGCGAGGGATTGGCATGAGCCATCGCCGAGGGACGTCGGGCGTCCTGTGTAGGTTCCCTCTGTACAGTGAGATCGCCACCATCTCGTTACTCGAATATCGATTGATCAAAAACGACGACGACCGCCCTTCTGTTCCGTTTCCTGTCGCTTCCTTCTATTCGGAATTTGGACTCTCGAGTTCCGATCTCGGATTTTGCCCATTTTCCTCCTCTTTTGATGTTTCTCGGCCGCCTGAAGGCGAAGGGCGCCACCTTCGTGAGGGAATGCCTTTTTTCTTCGTCCGATTGGAATCTATTTTACACCGCATCCCACCTTGTATTAGATTGCTCAGCTTGCATTTTCTTAGCGTTTTCTTTTCTCACCGGGGTCACACTGTTTTGGTGCAACCTCGCTCACTTAATTTTGGGATCCCGTGTCCCTCTTGTTTCTCATCCCAAAACATTATTTACCGGTAAACAAATACAAGAAAGGAAGAATAATTCGGGAATATTCCCTTTTCTCATTCCTTTCTCAGCATCAAACGGACCCTTACATCGCTTCAAAGAGGACACCAATAGGCGCAAGCCTTGGTTAGAGGAAAAAACTTTTAAGATTCTTTTTTTGGGAAACGGTAAAAGCTTTTAAAGATTTCTTTGACAAAAATTGATATAATGAATTATAATAATTTTTAATACATAGTTTAAATTTTGAAAATTTCCTCCATGCCTGACCACAACATCCTACAGCCGCACATCAAGGACATCTCACGTACCTCATGTCGTAATTCATTCATGGACGGTCCCAGAAGCTCATTGGGAAAAGTAAATATATTTCCCATTTGCATTACATCCAAGTTAATTAAGGGGGTGTATATGATTTTGCTTTCCAAAATGAAAACCGTCTCTAGTGTAAGTTTTATCAAGATTTACTAACCCACATATTCTCTACGATTTTGTATCCCAAAACAAAAATAACTGTCACATCCACAAAAACAAAATGATTTTTATTTTTTGATATGCAGCCGTCTTTGTTTTCAGAAATCATCAACAATTTAACACAGGATAAATTGTGACTATTTTCCAGACAGCCACTGAGCCGAAGTATTTCCCTTGATCTAAGAGGTCTTTGCCAATGAGTACTACTGATGTGACAGTTATTTTTATTTTGTAAAAACAAAACTGATAAATGCTGTTGCTGCCAAACACCCCTAACACCAAGGCTGTGTTTGGTTTCAAAGAACAGGTAGGAGATGGAAGGGAAACCTATACCTTTCCCTACCTTTTCTTTCAAACCAAACACAGCCTAAATGCTCTTCACAGACCATAAATCAGGTGCCACTGCCGCTTGCATCAGGAGCCAACAGCATCAACACAATACCTTGAAGGCACAGCCTTTCTTGGCCTCCAAGAACCAGAGTGAGTCAAGGCTGAAAACTATATATAATTAAAATGCTATCGTACATAACTTATAATGTATCACATAGACGATATTGAAAAGGGAAGGTCGTTATAATAGACAAGCTTGACGTGAAGGAGGAAAAACAAGTGATCACAAAGGAAGCTCGCCACTGTCTACGATGACAACTTTGCTTTTAGGCGTGCCACTTTGTCTCCCTTCAGCCTCAATCTTATAAACCACATCCATCCCAGATACCACTTGGCCAAACACCACATGTCTGCCATCTAACCTGTATCAAAACAAGAAAAAAAAATGATTGTGAAGCCTACAAAATCATTGACCACCCTTTGGATAAGGAGTATTGAAAAGCCTCGACTGTACAGCTTATACAACAGTTGAGGTTTGCAAATTACTAAATCCCTTGATAGTTGATACATCTAAAACAATGAGAACTGAAAATGGTAGGACAGACGGTTACCAGCTTGTAGTCACTGTTGTAATGAAGAATTGTGAGCCATTGGTATCCGGCCCAGCATTTGCCATTGACAGCAGCCCTGTACTCAAGAAAAGTACCCTTTTTAGGCAACCAAGCAGTCTTTTAACATTTTATGTACACCCAATGGTTATTTAATAGCTGCTCAATCTTCAAATGGTAACTAGTAACTATCAACTGCAATGGGGTTTACAATCTTACCAGGACCAGTGTGCTTCAATTTGAAGTTCTCATCAGCAAACTTGGTACCATAAATTGATTCTCCACCTCTTCCATCTCCTAGTGTGAAATCGCCACCTTGAATCATAAAGCTGGGAATGATCCTATGGAATGTACTCCCCTTGTAGTGGAGAGGCTTCCCACTCTTTCCAACACCTTTCTCCCCTGCAATGGAAGAGATATCATATATAAGACTAACATCCATAAAATTCTAATTCAAAAAGTCAAGCAACCCAAAATGGAAAACCTACAAGGTCTCACTTGGAGATCAGTCATAATTGGTGTATTTCATGAAAAGCAAATAACCCATAAAGAAGCTGCCAAGACTCATTGGATGTTTGTATTGAGTAACCTCTTTAATTGCAACGAAGTCGAGTAGCAAAATTATGAAATTTTAAATTTAGGATGCAACTAAAATGACAGACTTAAAACAATTTGCTCTCAATACTTGAAAAGATATGAGGTTTATGAAATAAAACCCAGAGAGAGAGAGAAAGTACCTGTGCAAAGTGCTCGAAAGTTTTCTGCAAAACCAAGATGCTTGTAAAAAGAATTAGACCTAAAGAAAGGTTATCTAAGCAAACCCACTATTACCACATTTTACTTCAACATGCACCTATTATACTGTACCTGCAGTTTTGGGGACTGTTTTCCCAAAAAGGCCCATTACAATGCGACCTGCAAGTGAAAAGATTTTTATTAAACATGTTTACATCTAAAATAGCATATTAGTGGCTGATATTCACACAGAAAAGGAAACTTCATGTTCATTGCTTCAAGCAATATTAACAATGCGTGTCATGATGCGATATTGTAATCATATCATGCAACAAAAGTCTCTTCAATATATTATTTCAACTTCAAATGGAAGAGAAAGTCTTCTGGTTACTATTACTACATACTATTGCTGGGCAATATGATGATAAATAAGATAGTACAGACTGTCAGATTATGTTTCTCTCTGCAAATAGTTTGTTCTATTCTTTCTTTCTTCAAAACCTGCATGCATTTTACCTTTTCTTCTGCCATTACATCATATGAATTCTTGTTCCAATGTTAAATCAATATGATCTAGCATTCACATTTGGTGCATGCATAGTGGTTTAGATAGCATTATCAAACCATCAACTAGTCACTCAAGAGTCATACTGACTAAATCATTAACTAGTAGATGTTGGTCAAGCAATGCACACTAGTTCCTTTAAGCACTTGTGATGCAAGCATGTGGTTGGGTGCGGTGTTTTAAAAGCGAGGATGCAAAAGGAAGGGGAAAAAAAAAAGAGCAAGAGCGTTCAAGCACCCAATGTGCCAGTCCAATCTGAGTAATTGTTTTCGGTGAGGATCCAGGAATTTTTGCCTTTTTTATTGACTATTTCACAAAATTTTACCAAATAATTTTGATCATAGATCTCTTTTTGGGTTTGTTAAGCATATATACTTTGTATTCCTTAACCATGCATATATAGCACCTTATTAAAATTTACATGGAAATCACATACCAGCAGGTTTTCCATCAATCTCAATGTCGAAGTATACTTTGTGGGTCACCTCCAAATCCTCCTTTGATTTCTTTGCCTGAAAAACCAAAATATCAAATGATCAATTGGGGAAAAGGAGGTTGCTCTGTAAGACCAATTCTGACCACTCCGCATTGCTAATCCAACTTGTATATAACTAAGAGTACCAAGAACTCATCTGAAATTTCAACTCCAGCAACCAGTGGAGCACAAAATCAAGAAACAATAAAGGACAGAAGCAGATGGCAAGATGGTCGTTGTATGTATGATTAGGGGAGGAAAAAAAACCTATGGCTAGAAATATGGCAAAAGAACATCAATGTGCATAGTCAAGGCAGTAAGAGGATGGAATGAGATGTATAAACAGTCAACGCCCGAAACACAACAGTAGAAAGAGAAGGAGAAGCAAGCCCGTAGGCAGCTACTTGCCTCACCTCATCGAGCTCGCTATCAATCCCGTTTCGACCAGAGGGAACTCCAGCATTGCTTAATTGATTCTGGGAACAAAACTAACAGCAATAAAAGGGAAAAAAAAAAGCAGATTGAAAGAGATATCTGAGAATGAAAAGGGTTCTCATTCATGGATCGACTCCGTAGAACACCTAGAAGGACAATTTGAGGACAATTCATGCGGGAGAGATGAATCGACGCGGTAAAACTCCATACTCCATAAGAGTCACCAAGATCATCAACTGAGAAAGTAAGAAAAGGGGGAGAGAAGAAGTGGAAAGCGGAGTACCTGAATGATAGCTAGGGTTCCGAACAAGACCAGAATCCATAGAAGCGAGACAGACAACAGCTTTGTTGGGGACATCCTGATCCTGCTCTCCGCCGATCTACACTCTCGCCCGACCGCTGTAAACGAGATAGGTACGAGAAAAATCTCGCATTTTAAACGAATTTTCAGATCCATCTAAATGGACGGATCAAGGAAAAATCGGACGTATGGGATCCGAACACGGCATAAGATAAGCTCTCCTCCAATGAAAAATTGCCATCTTAACCCGATCCACGCTGTGCGTTTCTTACATCACAGCCCACTGCCCAGTTGGAGGACTGTTGTCTGTTGTCAACTACAACTAGCTCGGTTCTTTCCCCATTCATGGTCCAGCCCGCTTGATATTGGAATACCGAATAAGGATTCCGGACCTGTCGTGGTAAATATACCTGTTTCATGGGCCGGACCGACCGGGGTTTGTCTTTTTATGAGTAGAAAATGTGCAGGCCCGAGTCCGACTGTCTGAGAGCCTGGTCCTTTAAGTCTGATTTGTACATAAAATATCTTATTTTTAGTATTTTTATAAATTAATAAATTAATTTGTATTTTCTAACAATAAATTAATATTTATTAATAATTTAAGAAACAAATATATATTATATATAACATAAGTATTTTTTTATTATATGTAAATATCGGGCCGAATTGGGCTTATTTGAAAAGGTCCCAGTCTGGCCCGAAAAATGTTCGGGCCTAGTATTTAAAGCCCAAGCCCATGGGCCTTAAATTTTGTCCAAGCCCAAAAATAACGGGCCAAGCCAGACTGAACCATCGGACTACCTAACCCATGGCCATGAACAAGTCTAGTGGTAAGGTAAGGTTGCAACTTTTTGAAAACTGCCAATTTGGGTTAATCCGGTTTTTTCACCAAATATCATGCGCTTTTGACATCAAAGAGTTTTACAAGTGTTCCATTTCTGCTAATGTGACATGTAATTAAACAGAATTGACAAAAAAATGGCATTTGACAATCCTATTTAGTACCTTTAAGTTTCCTGACAAATAGTCTAGAACCTCCGTTGTTGTCCGTCACACTCTGTTACATGTTACATGTAATTGATATATGTTTCAAAAATTCCTAAAAATACCTTTTCTCACAAATTATTTAAGCCCACTCCATCTCTGTCTCTGTCTCCTTCACACTATCCCGCTTCCGCAGTTCCTTCTTTTCTTCGAGTCCAGGGGCTTCCTATTGGATGGAGAAAACAGAGGGTGGAATTGGCCAGCCAAGGCCAATCCGATTGGCATTTCCATTGGTCCAGTTGGTCGAGACGTTCTCTTCCGCTCTCTAGAAGAAGCCACGCAGAGATTTTAGGAAGTTTGTCAGAGAAGGGAAATGTTTCCTCAACGAGTTCTAGTTCTTCCCAGTTCCAATGGTACTGGGAAGCCCATTTTTGCGAAAGCTTGCAGAGAGTCTCTTGGGAAAGGAATATGTAATGAAGAAACTTGCGAACCCAATACCACTCTGTGGTACAGGTAAAAGAAAAGAAAAAACAATTAAATAGAAAAAGCGATTCAAATAGTACATAATTTTCTTGCTCTTTGATTGATTAATGTTCTCTAAGTATTCTAGCTTTTCTTCTTCTAGCAGCTTTTTACAAGAAATGTCTAAGATCTACTAATAAATGTGGAAAGCGATCCCCAAAATACCTACAGGAATCTCAATTAAATTTTCCTTCTGAATTAGCATCAATGGGCGATCTTGTCCAGTGAACACGGTTGTAAAGAAAATTGTGAAGGGTCAGAACCCTTATTCTGGTCAGAATTAGAAAGCTGGTACCAAACAGTATACTCATTGTAGGTATATAGTGACCATTCATACCATCGAAGTACAGAAGATACCAAATTGATACTACACGGAGAATACAAGTGTATAATTCATCGAACATCTGTAATGAGAATACGACTCAACGCACATGCACGATGAACTCGTACTCAACACAAGTCAGGATAAACTTTGACTAATGTGAACTCGCGATGAACTTTAGATGCACGCAGTTTTGCAATAAACCTCGGATGTGCATAGTTCCATGATAAACTTCGGATGTGTGCAATCTCGCAATGAACTCGAGACCATTACGGAACCTTAGGGTCACCGTAGGCCAGGAATAAATATTAGTTACACGTGCGCCTTTAAATTATGTGCGTGATAAAGCGCCATGTGAGTCTAATAAAAGTGTGTCCGCTAGTAAATGACGTCAACAGTGTCACATTGGTTAAATGGACTACAAAAGGAAGTAGCACACGCGGATTATGAGAATCCTCAAATGAAAGGAAAGTCAGTCCTTGAGGGATCTCATAAGACACGTGGCGAAACCCTAGCAGTACTCCTTAATAACTGACAACGAATCCAATATTCACTTTCCTAATGGGAATAAAACACTTTTGACTCCTTCCTTTCGGGACCTCGGGATTGCTCCTTATAAATGAGAGTCCATCTCTTAACGAGATCATCATTTAATCATTCTATTCTGCCACATTATCACTTCCATTTACCCTAGCCTCCAAATCTACTTCATGCACCCGGTTTTCCTTCGTCTTTCAAGGAGACCCCTAAACATAGCCTAACCACCTTACTTACACTCATCTCTAAATCTATTACGCAAAACACATAGAAGTCTTATGTATGTATACCTGGATGCTATTAGATAGAGGATTTCTGACATGTAAGGTTCGAAGAACTTAGAATAAAGAGATTTGTGCTCGAAGGATTTCCGACAAGGAGTTTAATCCCAGTATAACCGGTTGCATGAGAGGTCACCACGTAAAGCATCTGATACAGAAATGGAGGTGGAGGCTAAGACAAAGAGGGAGATGGAGACAAGGAGAGGGAGAGAGAAAGAGAGAGAGAGAGAGTAGTGATCTATTTCCTCATTTTTTTTTGTTAGTATTTAATGACGAGGGTACTTTAAGAGAATATATAAACATTAAGGGTAGAGCTAGTCAATTTCCTACACCATAGGGGTACTCTAAGAAATTTGCCCCAAGTCAGATCACTTTAAACACCCAATTAGCCTATATCTCGAAATTTTGTGTTTTTCATAGAAACATATAAAACCAATGTTTTTCGAACCGCCATTGACTAGGATGGTTGGATCGTTCAGCCTAGGAACCATCCTTGTAACCGGTTCCATTTTACCCCAAAACCTGATCCCAAACCAAAAATCGTTGAATTGGTCAACAACTTGTTGACCGGGCGGTTGAACCATCGACCTGTTTGATTTTTTTGCCATTTTTTATTTTTTTATTTTTTTGTTAGAATGGGTCGTCCATTTGAACTGAATGGTCGAACCATTGACCTAGAAACCGATGGCTGTAATGGTTCCAGTTCTAGTTCAGTTTTTAAAACGTTGGGTAAAATGAATCACTTGTGAATCAAAGCTAGGGATGGCAATGTCTACCCTACCTGATGGGTACCCACCCCTACCCACCCCAACGGGGAGGGATTTTTGCTTGAATGATGGGTTTTGAGGTGAGTATAGGTTATGGGATTATACAACCCATATGAGTATGGGTAGGGTATGGTATTAGGCTAAACCAGACCCTCCCTGACCCGCATATTGTTGGAAAGCATATAAACTTTTAGGGTGTTTGGAACCGTGGGTGTTTATTAAATAAACGTTGCCACATAGGTGCCACTTCAGCATTTCCCCCATTATGTGAATCCGTACGCATGGGGACTTGCAAAAGTAGGCATCGGTTTATGTGTGCGCCTACCGTTGGGGGAAGCTTCATTTTAGCGCTTCCCCCAACGGGTAAGCATTTATTCATTTTTTTGCTGATGTGGCGCCTAATGGCACCTAAGTGTCAATAAATGGGTTCATCATTGTTTTTCTCAGTTTTCCAAACAAATCAAGTACAAATGTTTAGCGTCTGTTTGGCATCGTTGTCGTTGCTCTAGAAAACAACGCCACATCAGCACCACATCGGAAAAAACGGTGCTCCAAGAAACGAGCATTTGTTTGAAACCGTTTTCCATAAAAAAACAGTGCTCCAAGCCACGCCTTGGAAATCGGGAAGGCATGGCTTGGAGCAACACCAAATTTGGCGTTTCCTTGAGCTGCAACTCATTGCTGCAAATAGGGCAATGATGTGGCATTGGATAATGGGTACCGGTGCTGAAAAACGTTTCCTGGAGCATTGGTACCAAACAAAAAAAGTTGATGTTTTTCCGGGAAACATCTTATCTGGCAACAACGATTCCAAACATATACTTAGTCAATAAACATCCACGGTTCCAAATACATACTTTATATAGTAGGTGTTGAATTTAATAATACTTTGAATTTTATGTAAAGGATAATTGCTAGTTTATGTGTTTTTTACATGTCTTAATCAAATAATTAAAAATCTTAATATTTATTTGTGTTACTTTACTTATTTATTGCTTATATATTAAAAGAAATATTAGGAAATTAGATGCAAGTTTTAAACCCAACCTGTCCATATCCTTGAATGCGGGGAGGGTTTTGCACTTTCATGTGTGAGGAGGGTTTGGATTCTCAAAAACTTGGATGTGAGTTGTTAAGTTTAGGGAGATAAATAGAGTCTAGAATTTACAAAATCCTCTCCAAACTCGCCCCATTGCTATCCCTAATCAGAGCACATTTGTGAAATAGAACGCATGTGAAACGCTCAAATACTATACGACGATAAAGTATATGATAAAATACATGGGACTCACACCCAGCATGGAGTACATGGGGCCACAATGAGAAATTAAATAATTGTAGGTTTCATGTATTTTATTACTGGCGTGGAGAGTTATCGTTGGTTCCACGGCCTGTTCAATTCAGTTAATCCTTATTTTTTCAGTTCAGAATAGTTAATCCTTACTCTATGGCATGGGCCTAGCGGTGTAATGTGGGCCATACGGCCTGGGCCGGCATGCAAGTCAGTGGTCATGCTGCCTGATCTTCTGGAGGGCCGGAACCCCTCAAGAGGGGTTCCACATGGGCTTGGGTGTGTATGGGTCATACCGTATTGGTCGCGACTCGCGGGTTATGCTGGCATGGCCCACTTTATCGTATCGTACCGGTCGGCGGGTATTAACATGTAGTCCACCTTACAGCGCTAGACGGGCCCGTCCAACGACCGGCCGACAGAGAGAGAGAGAGAGAGAACCAACTAACCGTCGAAAACCAACTAACAGTCAAAAAAGACAGAGAAAGAGCGGGGGAAGACTGCTTGGTGCAACACTGCAAGTCAGATTCAACCAGGTGAGCGAGGACTGCGCTCATGGCCTTTACTGTTTCAGTTTCCCGCTCTCACAGTCTCACCCTTCTTAGTTTCCGTCTCTATCTTTCGATCTTGTTGTGGCAGGATGGAAGAGCAAAATCACTATTTACCCATCTCTTCTTCTGCTTCCATCCATGCCCATCCCTCTGATTCCGCTCCGTCGTCGTCGTCGTCATCTTTCCTGGCTTCCTCTTCCTTGCAAGCCCAGGAAGAAGAGGCCCAGATTCTTCAAGAGCAGGACCAGCAGCGTCAGGCAAGCGTCTCTTATCGTGTCAACATCTCAATACCCGCCATGCCATCCTTCGAGATGATGGATGATGCCTGGTCCTGCCTCATCGTGCTCATCACCTTCTGGTTCTTCGGTTCATTTCCTTCTCTCTTTGTTTTGTTCTAATTGATTATCTTTCTTATACATTTAATGTAATTTGGCTTAAGCTTGGCTTGGAAATTGGTTTGATTTCGTTTAGTTTGGCTGTTGATTTCCAATGTTCATCACCAGCAGCATCCATGACTCTGATACTGGGCTTTTATGGATCTGTGAATTTACAATTGACCCCAAATTACTCCCGTCTCCTGCAAGCTAATTCGATCTTGGTGCAGGATATCAAGGTACTTTTCCGCTTCTCATTCATTTCTTTCGTATTGGTATTTGTATTGTCTTTCTGATGTTTGGCTATGGCTTGATTTTGTTCCAGGTGCAAGAAGAAGGAGACCCAAAACCTAGTCCGATCCTATATGGCTTTTACGGAACACCTCGTCTTGATGTCGAGACGACTTGGTCTCAAATCCATAATGCTTCTATTCCACCCAATTTCCACAAGGCAAGACATTTCCCACACACCTTTTTCTTTTTGTTTGAAAGATACATTGTTTAATATTGGCAAAGGTAATCCATCAATTTCAAGCTCATGCACTTCTGTTTCTTCTGCCTTTCCTTTTCTGCTTCTCTCATTCCAAGGATGTGAGTTGAGTTTACTCTTAGGGTCCGTTTGGTTCACAGCCAGAATCGAAATCCTTCAGAATTGGAATCGGAATGGTCTATTCCCATAGTCTGGTTCAGACAAGAATGGGATTTCATTCGCAAGGAGGGGCAGGGAATGGCCATTCCCTTATATGGGAGAATGCCATTCCAGCAGGAATGGGAATGGGATTCCGATTCGCTAAACCAAACAGTTGGAATCGGAATAACCCATTCCGATTCCGATTCCAGACCCCTATTCCCGTGAACCAAACGGGGCCTTAGATCTTTAGGTACTGTAGTTGATGAGGTGGGTTTAATATCTGCTTGTGTTGCAGGAGTGGATGTATTTCCTGAATGTAGGATCCCAACTGGATATTTTCTACAGTGTGAAATCTCAGAACTCCCCTTTATTCCTTGTAATTGCTGAAGGTAACACTTTTGAGCAGTCCATATGTATACACCAAACAAACACATAAGTGCAAAGAACCTAAGGACTTTTAACACTTTGTGGTATTGCAAAGTTAGAGCAGAGAATGGGTCTGTTAGAACAAAATGTACAGGAAGGGTAGCTGGTAGAGTAAGATGCTTGAAGAAGAACCTGGTGTTTGAGTCAGGCTCATTGATACTGGGTTTGAACTAAGTCTGTCATTGTATGGGTGGGAGGTGGGGTAGAGACAGGAGTGGTTTTCTATTTCCACTCCTTGTTTCCTCTTCCACCCCAATCCAAGCATAGCCTAAGGACTTTCTTCCCATTCAGAGTAAGATGCTTTCACTGTCCAAGCTAAGAATGAAGGGGATAGCAGTATCTCTTCATGTTGGTAGGAAAATGCTACTTAAAAAATTTCTGTTCTGGTCTATAGGAATCAGAGGACACATATTGCTGGGGTATGCACAAGTCTATATGTTAATACTTTTTCCCCAGAAAACTTGTTGAATCTTTAAGTGTATATTGCTTCTGCCTAAGGTGGCATTACCTGCACCGCAATCTTCTCATTCCCACTTAGACTTCCAAATGTGAGAGTTTAATAAAGTAACCATCACCACTGCAGCTAAAAAACATGCATTATTTAACTATGTTTATCATATTAATGCACGTTCTTCTTAAATAATTGCTATTTAAGTGTGCAATGAAGATACACTCCTCTCTCATCTGCAATTCAAGCTTATAGGACCAATCTACGATGCATTTATTATTATTAGGGAATAGTGCTACTAATCATTACTGGTCCATCCATTTGGAAATTCTTGATCCAAACACAGGGAACTTTAGCAATTTGCTTCATTACACTTCCATGAAGCATCAGGATAAGGAAAGCTTCTTTGGTAGCAACCACTACCAAGAGTCTAAGAACTGCCAATTCTTTTTTTTTCTGTTTTTTGGTTAAGATGGTAGAGTATGCTTGATTTCAATTTGTTTTCTAGAAATGTGTCTTAATGTATTTTGCAATTTGTGTAATCTTTCTCAATTTTAGAGTTGGCAACTTGGCATGCAGGTAAAGAAAACTTTGTCGAGTGGATAGAAGATCCATCATATCCAAATACTACATTGTCATGGAATATCATTCATGGTAAGATTGAAAATAGAGCATATATTGCATTCCATGGTAGAACTGTATTGATTAAACTCATAAAATGTGCCTCTGCAGGAAGTGGGACGATTCAACAGAAAGTTTTCAAGTCATCTAACTACTTTGTTGCATTGGGTAACTTAAATTCTGAGGAGGTGAAGGTAATAATAAGATTGTTTTCTATATTCCATTTCTTTCTTTTATTTGAACACTTACATGCTTTTAATAAGCCATTTATGCACTGCATAGATCTATCTCAAATGTGCAAGTTATAGTTGTTTGGTACTAGCTGACTATTGATTTATTATATTGTCTATGCAAGTTTCTTACCATGGCATGTGCCTTTGTTGCAAACTTATGTTCATTCTCTATGCTAAACAGGTAAAGTTGGAAATTACAATATGGGCTCTCATGTATAATACAACAGAGGCATATTACAAATGCTCCGTGTCTCACAGTTCATGTGATTTGAAGCTTTTCCTTGTGGGGTCCAATGCTGCTGTCCTAACCTCTTCTGGTCCAGAACAGGTAAAATTGTTGCACTTCTGTAAATTCTCTTGTTTGGAATTCTTGAATGGATGAATATTTTCTGGTAAAATGATAAAAAGAATCCCAAAAACGTTATGTGGACTACATAATGGGACCCATTTAGTTCCTTTTTTTTTGGTTTTCTTGGTTTCTGAACTAGAAACTTTTGTAGCTCTCAAAGAACCATTCAACCTAAAAGCTTAAGCTGTTAAGTGAGGTCCTTGAATAGGTTTTATTCTCTAACATGCCCCCTGACATGAAAGCCCATTGGGCTTGAAGCGTGAACAACACAGGCCCACCCGTACCTTGCTGAAACTTAATTAATTATAATGGGGGTGACAAGAATCAAACACTAGACCACTTGGTCAAAGTGGCTCTGATACCATCTCAAAGAACCATTCAACCTAAAATCTTAAGCTGTTAAGTGAGGTCCTTGAATAGGTTTTCTTCTCTAGCACTAGCTTTACGCTAAAATTTTTTTTCTGCAAATAATTATTTGAATGAACTTTAGTTACTGGATAAAAAAGAAATGCTTTTGGGCATGAGGTTAAAAGAATACCCAAATAAGAGTACTGACATAATGGCGGGAGGATAGAAATGGTCATAACACCCTACCTCTGCTTGACATGTGACACACATCTAGGAATATCAAACCTGTTATTGATCCCAATGGCCATAACTAAAAAACATAGAGAAAAGATGAGGAAAATTCATTTTGAGTGGGTAAAACCTCCTAGATATGCCTCGTTGAAGGGGCAAATCCCCCACTAGACCAAATACTCCTAAAATATGATTCTTCCTCTCAGGGATGCAAATGGTATCCATTTGTCTGAAATCGAATTTGAATACAATCTGGTTAAGGGCAGTCCAGATTCAATCAGTTTATAATTGGATTGGACATGGATCCATCCCTATCCATTCTGATATCTTCTGATCTAATTCGATTTAAGTATGGCACATAACATTTGTATTGTATCTATTAGTAAAATTGGTTTAAATATACATTCAAGTTTCATATAAGTTATTTTCAATTAACTTTTTTTCATTATATAATAATATATAATATTTTGATCACTTTTAGGTTAATCTATTAATTCTATTCAATCTCTGACTGCAATCAAAATTCCATTCTGATCTGAATAATGACTAGAAACAAATCAATTTTGGATCTAGGTATATCTGATTCAATGTGATCTATTTGCAGCCATACTTATTTTGCTAGGTAAACTTGGAGATGGTAGTGGGGAGGGTGAAGGCAGGAATCAGTCCTAGACCAATAGGACATCCACTGACACCAACTCAGCCAGCTGGAACCTTTTAATTTTTGTTCTTTTATTGATTGTCATATGGCATCTACATTTTTAAAATTTATTGCTCCTAATTATGCAAACCACTAAGATACCTTTACAATTATACCTCATCCAAATCTACCTATTAGAGTATATTAGATTAAGTAGAGCAACTAGAAAAATAGTAGGTTTTTGTATGTTTCTGAGTGAGACATTCTAGTTGAAGTTTCATTTTAATGAGAATAGATTTATGTCTGGAGTGTCTAATTGAAATTTTTACTAGCAAACCTAAAGGCAGGTCATACAGTTATGAGTTGCTTTTAGAGGAGAATTCCTTGGTAGGATAATCAAATTTTGTTTTCAACCTTCCTAACCATTCTGTGTCTACACCAGAACATGGAATGGCAGAACTGTACCAATAAATAGAGTGAGAGAACTGTTATTTTGGGAAACCTCCATTTTTTCAGTGTTCAGTTCCCAGGAAAAAAAGAACAAAAAGAAGTAAAACCACAAGCAAATCCAAGGTGAAAAGGTTGCAAAATGACTTATACCTATTTCAAGCATAAGTCAATTTACTTGGATGGGATCATGGAGAGTCCTGAAGAGTTCCTCTATCTCCAACAGACCAAAGAAAACCCTTTGCACTTCTCTCTCTGTGCCTTCTTCCAAATTCTTGTCCCAACAACTAAACAATTCTTAAAATGGCCCATAGATGTAGAGTTCATACTTCTTTTGGTGGCAAACTGTGATTTGAACTCCTTTTTATTTGGTGTTTACAATGGTATGGTTGTTATTGTTTTATGATTGCTCATGAGTTTGGTGTCTAGGTGAAGACAGTTGGAATCCTGATACTGATACAGCCTCCATCCTAAGAAATTCGTTTGAAGTATTAATGATATTTACATCCATATAACCATGTTGGCCCCACCTCCTAGTAATTGTGCCTTAGCTTGTTCTTTTATCCTTGAACTGTGCATTGTTCATTATGTTTAACCAGGATTGACAGGTGATGGATCACCAACATAGGAGATGCTACTAATTCTTGTTATTGTTTAAGTACAGGAAAAGTGTTAGTCTATTAATAGGACTCTCTTTATACACGTACTAGTATATATATGACTATAGAATGCATTTTCAGGGCTACAATCAACAATAGGACACACATGGGTGAAAGTCAAAGTTTTACAAACCACAGTTTTCCCCTAGTAAACATTTCTCCCTGCAAACCATTTGTCATGGAGACAATCACAGCCTTAATGAAAGCACATTGTTATGTGCAGAAGATCTGTAAGCATTGGATTTTCCCAAGACTAGATTACTGCCAATTTATAGTATGGGTAATAAGTGATGAATCCTGCAGTTTGCAGATCATTTGCGAGTTAAAATTCTCATTTTTGGTGGCATCTCTTTATGTATGTTATAGAGATTAATTTCTTTGATGCATATGGAGTTTTGGTTCCTTAGGACACAGACAGTGATAGCCAATATGTCATGCTTTCGTATGGACCACGATGGCTCACATATCTTGTTGCCTCAGGTATTTATCTACTGTCATTTTAATCTTAGAATGATATCCTCCTCCAACAGCCTATTTTTCTTATGGCTCCTGCATGTAGGTGGAATGACTTTGGTAATGTTATTGGCCTCGAAGGTATGCATCCAGTTTCAATCCACCACTGGAGATGAAACTGGATATCAGACAGTGGAGGTGAGATCTGAGAGAACCCCATTGCTTACAGACAAAGATGATGATCTCTCCAGTTGGGGCTCATCTTATGAGTCTGTCTCTCATGATGAGGAGGATTTTGAGGAATGCATCAGAGTAGGTTCCCTTGAAGCAAAACCACTAAATGATGGGGAAAACAATAGCAATCCCCGGCGCCTATGCGTAATTTGTTTTGATGCACCAAGAGATTGCTTCTTCCTTCCATGTGGGCACTGTGCAGCATGTTTTACATGTGGAACAAGGTGATTGCATTTCATTCCTATCCATTTATCTTGTGATATGAATCGATTATTTTATCTATTGTTGGAATAATGTTAAAATAACTTAGTTGCAGACGTTAGGGCCTGTTTGGATAATTAAAGTGTTTTTTATTTCGTTTTTTATTTCTGTTATGTTTGTTATTGTACTCAGGGGCACAAGGGTCTTTTCCCTTGTTATTTCTGTCGCCCTATATATAGTAAAATAAACACTGGCG